TCGTGATGAGGAGATGCCCAGCATAGGGATAGGGATATGCTCCAGGCTGGCAACTCTTGGCGCTTCCGGGGCGGCCCTCGTCGCCACCGCTGGATTCGCCTCGAGATCCTCGTCAGAACGCTCCCAGGGAGAGGTCCAGGGAGTAGCGGTATCGGTACTTTTCGGTTTCCCCAGGTGAGGGGGTGAGGCAGAGGTGGGACGGAGCCGGAGATCAGGGAGGCTGAGGGGAGGGGCGGGTGGGAGGCAGGGGAAGGGTGATGCACGGGCGGGAGGGAAGGTCACGCAAGAGGGAGGGGATGGGGACGGAGCGGGGGCTCCGGAAGAAGGGGAATGGGGGGACGGAGGACGCTCAGCATCCAGTTGGGCACGCCGGAGACGTTCGAGGCGAAGATCGAGGGGATGCAGAACGAGCTGGGGCTGTCGCCCGTGGACCACGTGCCCATCCAGTACGTCAGCGAGACGGACCTCGTTCAGGATCTCCTGCCGCATTTGTCCTCGCTGCTGTTCCTCATCCCGATGCTCCTTGTAGCGCGGGCCATGAGCGGGGGCACTCCGAGGGGGCCAACTTTTCACCTGCACGAGGGGTTCAATCATAGACCCTTTGTTCACCGTAGTTATCCAGCTTTCGCGCCGAAAACCTCCAGAAACCGACGAAGACCATCAGAAAGCCGCCGAAGACTGCCGACGACCGCCAGAAGACCGCCGAAGACCGCAGACGATCGCCCAGGGCTGTTGGGTAACCGAATGCCCCAGATAATGAAGCATACCCCCCCTGCTCCTCCCTCAGGATTCCTTCTCCTCCCACTCCTTATCGTAGTTCTCAGGATTCCTGCTCCTCCCACCCCTCCAGGGAGGCCCCGCCTGAGAGAGCAGGGTATCGCTATACCATGATATATCCTACGATTTGTGCCTCTCCCAACCCTCCAGGGAGGCCCCGCCTGAGCGAGCACGTGATCGCTTTACCCCAGTATGTCTCAGGATTCCTACTCCCACCCTTCCAGGGAGACCCCGCAAGAGCGAGCACGGTATCGTTATAACATGAGACACTCCGTGCATCCTTACACTCCGAAAGATTTCGTTCGCTCCTCCTCCTCCTCCTCCTCCTCCTCCTCCTCCTCCTCCTCCTCCTCCTCCTCTGCTCCTCCTCCTTTATGTTGCGACCTGCAGGGGAATTCATATCATCTCGCGGGAACCCCGAACTTTCTTATCCCCACCCTGTGATGATCGGGGCCATCGGGTTAACAAGGGATCCATGCTCGAATACGTAACCTGCACCGATTCTGGCCAGCCTGGTCCTGCGCCCAGGACCAGTGTACACAGGCTTCCTCCCTTGCCTTGGCTGGGAGGGCGTTGTATGTAGTGCTCCTGCGCCCAGGAGTGGGCTAGCCCAAACCGGCGTCGGTGTATATGACTACCCGCCACACTGCCCCAATCCTCCATTCCGAGTGGGGGGGGGATTCCGGAACATTTGCAAACAAACGATGGAACTCGTCGTTCCCCTAGACCGGAATTTGGAACCTCGGGTTTGGCTGGGGTGGTCTGGTAGGTAGTCAGTATAGTCGTCGTCGCCCCAGGCATGGGCGGCCCTGGTGGCATTGGCGGCGGAGGACCAGGAGGCAGAAATATATTCAGCATCGGCAAGGCGTTCCCGTCCGGGCAGAAGGACGTGAAGTCCAAGGTGAAGTTTCACGACGTCGCTGGCCTGGAACAAGCCAAGAAGGATTCGGCGCTCTTCAAGGGGCGAGTGTGAAAACGTCGGGCTTCGAAGCAATCAGGCAGACTTGCTGATGGGCCTGTTTCCAACCACCACCACCACCACAAGTTGAAGGGGGAGGGGGTCCTCCTCCTCGTCCTCCTCCTCCTCGTCCCCCTCCTCCTCCTCGTCCTCCTCGTCCTCCTCCTCCTCCTCGTCCTCCTCCTCCTTCCCCCCTCCAACTTCTGGTGGTGGTTGTGGAAAACAGGCCCATCGCTTACGACGAGGAAGAATCGCTCCAGAGCGCTCTGCCAGGGAGTTCTCTGGAGCGCTCTGGAGCGGCCGCGGCGCCGCACACATCCTGCAGACCCGCCGGCGTTCAGCGATTCACGGTGTTCCGAGGCGGGGATTTTTCCATCCAGTGCCGCCGCCTGGGGGAGCGATCTTCGAGGACCTCGGCTGGCGGTGGATATGGATATGGATATGAACATGGGTACGGATACGGATGCGGATGTGTGTATGTATATTTATATATGCATATTCTCATACGCACCTTTCCGAGGGAGTAGAGCTCAGATGCGATTAATGCGCACGTCGTCCGCGATTTTTCTGGCCGTTTCGCTCGGGACATCCTCGAAATTCTGAAAATCGGTGGCACCCCTCACGCAGATCGTGACGTCAGGGTCCAAAAACACATGGGAATTTCAACATTTTAACATAAAACCTTCAAACACATATGGTAATTTCAATAATTTTGACCCCGATTCTCAGAGAAGGGCGGTTTCGCATGAAAAAAACTTCCCAAAATCGAGCCCCAGACCCCTCCTCGGAACCTCCTGGGGGCCTCCTGGAACCTCCTGGGGCCTCCTGGGGCTTTCTGGACCTTCTGGTACCCCAGACCCCGCCTCGGAGCCTCCTGGAGTTCTCCTGGGCCTGCTGAGGCCGCCTGGGGCCTCCTGGTGCCTCCTGGGGCTTCAGAACTACATGCACACACAGAGACACAAATCACGCCCAACACATCACACGCTAGACAAACATAACATACACACACACAACACCGACAACACACACACACACACAAAAAGCGCGCACCACACAAAGCACACATCACACACACACACAACACTCACAATCCTGGGGCCCCCTGGAGCCTCTTCTGGTATCCAAGTCGGGCCTCCTGAGGCTTCCTGGGGGGCCCTGGTACACACATGCAAGGTGTGGCAACCCCACTTGCGCTCGAGTGCGACTTCGCTGTTGCATGTCACTCCTGCTTCAAACGCCCCTTCAGCTTGTTGTATGAGCCTGGGCACACACGTGCCACTTGTATATAGATATATGTATATACACATGTAAATATACATATAACTATACATCTATATATATATATATATGTGTGTGTGTGTGCTCGCCCCCCACACCCCAGCACCCCCAAACGGTGGAGTGAGGGGGAGGAGGGGTGGTTACCCCCTCAGCGTCCTTCTCTTCTTCCTCCTGCTCCTCTTCATCCTCATGGTTCCTCCTCCCCCTCATGGGGGGCATCCTCCTCATCGTCATTCTCTTCCTTGCCAACAAGACCACAAAACGAAAAAGAACCAGAACCACAACCAGAACCAACGCCAGAACAACGGAAACCAGAACCAGAACCATAACTAGAAGAACCAATGATCGTTTGCTCCTCCTCCTCCGTCTCCTCCCTCTTTGCGACTTCAGCAAAAAAAACCAAACATTCACAATGTTTCCTTGAACCGAGAGCGCCAAACACTGTGTATCTAAAGGCTGCCGCCTCTGCCGCCGACCCCAAATTGGGGTACTGTTTTCGGTGTTTTGTGTTGTCGTGTTCTGTAGCTAATGGGCGACGCCGAAGTTGCCAGGCGCATGGCTGCCTTTAGAGCTGCCCGTTCCTGGCCAGGTCTCTGTGTTCACGTGTCCAGGCCGCTCAGGGTGGTATCTAACATGTGAATGTTTGTGGAGGATGTCTCGAGCGAGCCACGTGTTTTCACGTGTCCAGTTCGCCCAGGCAGATGTCTAGCATGAGGTGGCACGTTCATTGGCACGTTCCGTAGCGCGTCCCCTTGGCGCGTCCCGCAGTGCATCCCCATGGCACGTTCTCTGGGACGTCGCCTGGCGCGTCCTTTGGGACGTTCCGCGGCGCGTCCTCCTGGCATGTTCCCCTGTCAATTAGTTCTGGGGCAGCTACTATGTGCTCAGGCAGCTCGAGCTTACGATCCAGATCAGTTCGGTCAGGACTCGGATGCAAAGGAGGACTCGATTCACAACCTTGTAGAGCACACTCGCGGCATGACACATCGCAATTCAGCACGGCGCAGCACAGCACAACCCTCGGCACGGTACATCAAGATCGATACACTCAGCATTGCAGCTTGGCGCGTTCCGTGGCACGTCCCGCGACGAGTCCCCCTGGCACGTCGCGCGGCGCGTCCCTTGGCACGTCCCGTGGCACGTCCATTGGCACGTTCCGTAGCGCGTCCCCTCGGCACGTCCCGCGGTGCGTCCCCGTGGCACGTCCCCTGGCACGTCATTTGGCGCGTCCTTTGGGACGTTTCGCGGCGCGTCCTCCTGGCATGTTCCCTTGTCAATTAGTTCTGGGGCAGCTACTAAGTGTTCAGGCAGGTCGAGCTTAAGATCTAGATCGTTTCGGTCAGGACTCGGATGCAAAAGGAGGACTCGATCCACAACGCTATAGAGCACAATCTCGGCATGGTACATCGCAATTCAGCACGGCGCATCACAGCACATCCTTCGGCATGTTACATCAATATCGATACACTCAGTATTGGATTTACCCGTCGCCCAATCAGGTGTCTTTGAAGCGTTGCCATTCCTTACAGTTATATATTCCTGTCTGGGTTCCTGGGTCGATCATGTTTCGATGCGCGGGCCTTTGATCCTCTCGACCCCTTTCCCAAGATAGGCTTTTCATTTCGAGTCGTTTCTTGACAACTCCGAGGTCCGACATTGGCTTCCAGAGTTTCAACCTCGCAACGAACTGGCCGCTTTGATTTTTCAGAGGCATCCGATATCTGGGGGCGCCACGATTTTTATGTGTCGTTGCCACCCAGATGTATCGACCTTTTCCTCAGGGCCAGTCTGCTGTTTTGTTGACAGTCCCGCGACGGATCAAACCAGGGAAGAGTTCAGAAACAATGAAGCGGAGAGCCGCCAGACTCTGAGGTCCAGGCGTCGCAATTCGTTTCACATTGTGCTTTCTCGTCCAGGTTCGGGCCCTCGGGGCCCCCGCAAATCGATCCAGCTTGAGAAAAACACCAGAAATATTGGGGTTCGGCCCAGGGTTCTGGTCGTGACAATCCATGATGCTGCTTCTGCAGGGGAGGTTTGGGCCCCCCCCATGTCTCAGGAGCTTCCCGGACGTACAGTGAGCGGCTTGGGATAAAAAAGGGGCTTCGTTCCTTAGGTCAGGCCGATGACTGTACCCGGAGGCCCGGCCCTCAGACAGCTCTGGAGGCGCAACAGAACGCTCAGAGCGTGCCCGCAACACTACGCTGTCCTCGATCGTCGGACCGCCAGAGGTCTCGGCAGCTCGCCACGAGCGCGTGCCGAGCTCTATTCGGGGGCAGCCCTAGGGACTTGGCATCGCTCGGACGTGTGGATTTTTCCTTCGGCGAGGGCCATCGAGGAGCATCCCTGATCATTTGGCGAACAAAGCCACGCACGAAACCGAACAAAAAACACAGGGAATGGACGTCCGTGCGATGGCCAGAGGGAGGGATGGGCTCAGGGGGGGGGGGATGCGTCGACCGCGCATCGCCCACGGATCGCCGATGGGGGCCCGATATAGCCCACCCCGCCCAGGAGCGCGCGGAGTCGCAATCGGGGGCCCATCGCCGATTTGTCGGCGACGGATCGCCGATCCCATGCCGAGGTCTCCCACCCAGGGCAGCGCTTCGTGGCCACATGGGGAGCTCCACCGAAGGCCCCAGTGGCGCAGTTCGCATGCGGTTCCCCCGCCCAGGGCAGCGTTTCGTGGCCCCATAGGGAGCTCCACCGAAGGCCCGCCCCAGTGGCGCAGTTCGCATGCGGTTCCCCCGCCCAGAGCAGCGTCTCGTGGCCCCATAGGGAGCCCCACCCAAAGCGGCACCCACAACGCGTTCCGAACAATTGCTTATGATTTGGTCCTTCGCCAGGATAATTGGAAATTCGATTGCGATATCTTTCCGGCACGGAAGGTTTTTGAAGGATTTCGGCATGCGCGCGCGACGACGCGCGCGTGTGCAGTTCGTCCCGTTGTTTGCAAGGGATTCGCGAAACAGTGCTATGTTAGAACAAAAAATGTCACCGCATAGTGTTTTTACAGTGTTTTTACAAGGGAACCTCAGGGGGGGGAACCTGGCTGGCCTGGGATAGTGTAAATTCAGATTTAGGATGGACATGTGGCCAGAGCCATATATGATGCACATACCCGAAAGGGGTGTCGATAACGCTGGGGGGGGGGGGTAGATCCCTTTCTGTTTTTAGAAAGGAGAATCAACGTTGTGCTACTGATGTTGTGCAGTTTGTGTGGGGCAAGCTATGTTGAGCAACACATGTGGTGCATGTTTGGTTGCGAGCGAACATACACGCGCCGCAGGGGCGACAATGACACACATGCGTTTAGGTCACGGTGTCCAGGTGCGACAATCTACGTGGTGCAATCGTTGGTGCGCCATCTACGTGGTGCAGTCTACGTACTGCAATGCACGTTGTGCAGTATATGTTGCAGCATTTGTCGTGCAAGCCATCGTGCGCAGTATTCACAATGCGTTCTATGTGGTGCAACTCATATGGTTCAAATACACATGGTTGTGCATTATAGAACGTGCAAGTAATATTGTACATTCGATGTGGTCCAGTTATGCTGCTCGGGAAAACAACGGCGCGCCTCAGACGCGAAACGAAATCGTGCAATGTATGTGGTGCAATCTATGTGGGGCAACCTATGTGGTGCAATCCAACGGCGGCGACGGGCGGTGACAAAGTGGCGACGGGTCGGCGACGGCGACACCATAGCC